GGTGAAGAATCCCAAAAAAACTGTCTACGTAGTTTATGAACAGGCCCTAACATGATTTTAAAAGCCATTTTGTTAAAAGCATGCAGCTAGACGAATACTTTTTGCACCCACTGTATGTACAATAAGGTTTTGCCACAGACAAACAGACATAACACATTGAATATTTCGCATTGTAAAACATCGTCGCTAAAACATTACCGCCATCTGTTGAGTACACTGTGGTGGGTAGTACCAACAATCAATACGAAACTAACGATTTTAAATTGGCTCACCACTTTAGTAGCCTATTGGTCCCAAGCAAACGATTAACGTACCCTATTCTAGTTGAAATTCTATTACTACACTATGTTTGTTTTGATTCGCTATGAAAGTTTGACAGATAACATCAGGGGTGTGTGGATTCATGCAGAACATGCAGGGGTGAGTGAAATAGCTTGGGACTGCTTGGGACCGTTGTTCTGGTACTGAGTGAGCCAAAAATAATAATGATTTTCTTCGGGACCCAGTAGTCTTAGAGTTACCTCTATGGTAGTACGCTGAACAGATGGCGGTAGTGTGTAAACGTCAAACGCAAGGGAATTGACTATGCGCGTCACAGGTGGCAGTACTACCAACTGAGATACTTTTAAATTGACCGTTAAATGCTTGTTCGATGAACAACTTGTGAGTGTTATGTCTGTTTGTCTGTGGTTTTGCGGTGGTGCCGATGGATCACTAGGTTTCGGTTAATAACTATTCCCAGCTGTATTTGGAAGGGAATTTGTAACAAATCATAGCACCTGCGATCCTCTACGCAGCTCCGGTGTGGGAATCATGTGCACAGACTCACAGGAACAAAATTCAGGTCGCTCAGAATAGAGTGCTGAGGATGGTTCTTGATCGTCCTTTCGACACTAAAGGGTGTCCACGATGAAACTGCCACACTATGAAATTGCTCTAACTTTTTAACCGTTGGGTAGAATTTAATGAAAATTTGGGTGGATTTAGTTCATAGTGCATTATTTACATCCTGCGAGTTTTAAAGTCCTGTGATCAAAACTCGCGGAAATGAAGTCGAAAGAACAGCTCGTGCGTGATAAAATCTTGCGCATTCATCACGAGAACAAGGATCTCTCGCATCGTTCCATCGCTAAAACGTTGGGAATCGCGAATTCCACGGTGTCGCGAGTGATTAAGCGGTTTGAGGAACGGTTGATCACCGATCGGAAGCCCAGAAGTGAAGGAAAAAGTATTCCGTACAACACCAAAAATCACAACCGCGTAGTTGGGGCCTTCAACCGAAATCCGAACGCCTCCGTTAGGGATGTGGCTAAGAAGCTGCACCTAAGCCGAAGTTTTGTCCAGAAGGCCAAAACTAAGGCTGGACTTCGAACGTTCAAGGTACAAAAGGCCCCTAATCGCGACGAGAAGCAGAACAAGTCCGCCAAAACCCGTGCCAGGAAGTTGTACCTCAACATGCTGACGAAAGTTGAATGCTGCATCATGGACGACGAAACATATGTGAAGGCCGACTTCAAACAGATCCCCGGCAACCTGTTTTTCACGGCAAAGGATAAGTTCAGCGTTCCGGAGCATGTCCGCACTCAGAAGATGTCCAAATTTGCGAAGAAATTCCTGGTTTGGCAAGCCATCTGCACGTGCGGGAAGCGGAGTGCACCTTTCGTGACCCAGGACACGATGAACGGACAGGTGTACATAAAAGAGTGCCTCCAGAAGCGGCTGCTTCCTCTCCTGAAGGCCCACAACGTCCCAACAATCTTCTGGCCGGATTTGGCCTCATGCCACTACTCCAAGGACGTGCTGAAGTGGTATGCGGACAATAAGGTCAATTTCGTGCCGAAAATGTTCAACCCTCCCAACACTCCGGAGCTCCGCCCCATCGAGAAGTACTGGGCGATTATGAAGCAGCACCTTCTTAAACGACCTAAGGTAGTGAAGACAGTCGAGGAACTGAAGAAAGTATGGGTTTACATGCAAAAAACGGTTGATTCACAGGTTGTGCAGAATCTTATGGCCGGGGTTAAGGCCAAGGTGCGGGCATTTGCGTATGGACTGTAAATAAAATAGGGGAATTTACGTATTCTCGTCAATCTAAGCAGCGTCCGAACTTCTATTAGCGATTTCTCAGCGTCACACTCATACATGACAGGTTTGTTTGTTGACATTTATCTGCTGCTTGCTGTTCTACCAATTCCAATCGACAGAATTGATCAAAACGGGTTGAACATGTTTTTACAACGCTCCAAACTTCTCAGGTGAGTGTGACTATTGTCGGCAGTCTCTTTTTCTTCGGCACCCTTTCCATTTGAACTGCATGTTAACCAGCTGTTCTATTATCGGCAACTCGAAATCAGCCGTATTTTGTAGTGTGTATATTTCATTTAAAGAAATATATGGCATAACAGGATTGCACAGTCGTAAAAATGTAATCAGATTGAAGCTGAAAAGGTAAGGAATCGGCTTAATACATTCAGCGAAGAGTTTTGATGGGAAAATACAGTGAAATTAACGTTTCAATTTCGGTTGCCGAAAACAGTCAATGGGTGCCGAAGCCATAATTTACCCTACGAGTAAAATGGTAAAATGAAGTTTAATAGTTATTTCTCAATCCCTGAAAATTTGATGGCAATCGGATTAAAACTCGAATTTTGCGAATCAATTTTGTGTGTGGCAATTTCATCGTGGACACCCTTTAGAATAACAAATTTACACGAAGAGGCAGGCATTGCCAAAATAGATTCCAAAATTAACGAAATTAAGACTAAATTTGCACAAAAATGTAATTTATCAGAACATGCTTTGACAAGCAATTTGTATATAGTAGATTAGGTGTACATAGTAGTTGTAGTTGTAAATAGTAGTTATGAGTAGTCTCCTTTTTCCAATGCAAATCAAACCAATCCCACCAAGGTGGTCATACTTTAAAATAGGCCTGATAGGACTAGGAACTGTAAATAATAATTAAAATCTCAAATGTATTAAAGTTAAAAAGACGCATCAGTTTCACTTGAAAAATTCATACATGTAAATCACACAAACACAAGAAATAAAGATCACTTAAAGTCAAGTTGGAAGGGAATTTGACTAGCAATATTCTCGCGCAGAAGCTCCATCAGCCGGTGGGTGGCTTACTTTTCCATTAGCTCTTTCTTCTCCGAACCCTTGACCAGCACCAGCGACGAGTACAACTTATTGGGTCGAGTGGAAAAAATGACATGAATTTCTTTTCCACCTGCTTGACGAAGGGGTTTCATTATTTCATTAAATCAACAGTGGCATCGTGCCTTCCATCGAAGACATCAAAAAGTTGCCAGTCTTCTTGATTTGTTGTCTTCGCTTCCGGTGGTTTCGCAATTTGTTAAAACCACAATAGATCAAATAACTGGTCGCAGTGGATTTATGTCCTGAACAGAGGAAAAAAGGCACCATGCTTGTTGGGAAGAGTTTTCAGAATTTGCTCGACGCTCTCTGAACTTTTCTAAAGATCTGTGAACTTACGTGTAGTATTTTGAAGTTTCTTGCAGTTCTTGTGAAGCTCCTGAAATTTTTTTGATGTGAATGAAACTGTCGTCAAGTTATCTTCATCTAAGTTCACGAAATTTTCTTGAAAATCTTGGATCTGAATTAATGTTCTCAGAATTTACCCTTAAGGATATATAAACTTTATCAAAGTTCTGAACATTCCTGTAGTTCTCGAAACTTCCCTGAAGTTAAAGAAAGATCTCTGAATGTCTCGAATTTTCCTAAAGTTCTTGGAACATCACTGACGTTCTCAAAATTGATCTACGCACCAAATTTCTCAAATCTTGTTCGGTTCTTATTTTGCCTGAATTCATTTTGTAAAATGAATGGTGTCACTTCACGGAGAACAAATTATAGCAGATGCAATTATTTTTCCGGTCAAAATACCTAAATTGTTCAATTGTTTTAGAGATAACCCGAAACTATAGTTGATTTGACTATATATAGAGAGCAACAACTATAGTCCATAGTTGGCTCCTCGGTTGGCTCAACTATATTGTTCAGTAGATGAACAAACGTCAAACTTCAAAATACAACTATGCTTTAGTTGATTCAAGAAAACTTTTGTTAGAAAAGCAAAATTTTACAATGTTTATTAAACGAACTGCTCTTCATTATCGACATATTAAGGAAGTTTGTTTTGCTTCTTTATCGATCTCAAAAACACAACTGCAAACTCATAAAAAAGTGAACAAGAACATGCAACTTAGATTTGAACCGTGTTCATCTGCGTGAGAGCCAGCTATCTTATCGCTTGCTCTACGCATCACTAGTTAAAAGTATGTGGATTTATGATGATCACTTGAAACCAAATTATATAAATAAATTACATTTGACGGTTGTTATAATTGATCAAAGTTATAGTTGAATTGAGTATAAGATGAACAGTTGAATCTATTAGGTAGATATGATTGAGTTGACGGTCAAATTAATATTGGAATAACTATAGGTTTCTTTCAAACAACAATATATTTCCATGTGAAAGTAACTATTAGGATTGTTATTTTAACTTAACGAATTTGTTCTCCGTGTTGAGAACGTTTCTTCAAGACCTGCTGGTCTTAGAGTTACCTCTATGGCTTTACTTCCCTTCCGAAGGAAGACATGACCAGAGATTTTTATGCCTCAGAAAAATCCCACCGACCTCGTCTGGGATTGAACCCAGACCCATAAAGCAGTCACGCTTACCACTACACCACCGTGCCGGCTAATTTACATAAAACGATTGTAAACAAAAAAAAAATCATTTACGACCATTTTTTTTTGCATTGGGTCGCCCCCCACTGTGCATTGTGGTTCACTCATTTTACTACCAGAGTTCATTTCATTCATGATTCGGCGGATGAAAGGAAAATACTACCCGTAAGATGTAAACAAAACCAGCAAACGGATTTTGGTTTATTGCGTTTGACTACTAAGTCTTGTTAGTTACATCTAAATCGTTCTATAAAAGTACCCGTAACTATTTTCCCTGAATTATTCATCAATGTGAATGTAAGAAAATAGACAAAAGTGTTGCACTAAATTCTCACGATTTCCCAGTGGCGATAACTAATGAATGGAACATCTCAACCCACACACTGACATCTGTCACATCTTCGGCTCATTCACCAGCTGGAAGGTGGCAAATCTGCGGCTGCGGCTATCCAAAATCCGAATCAACTCGAGCGCGAGCCGTCGAATGAACCGCTACTAGCAGGTACTACTTGAACTTGAGCGGCGGGGCGGTAGCATAGCGGACGGATAGAGTGAAGTGAAAGAGTACCAACCAGCACCATTGGTGAAGCTAGTGTTGTATAAAAACATTGGACACGTCGCGGTCGCAATAAAAGCTGATTTCAGCTGGATTCAATCTGTTTTCGCCGTGCCAAGTGGATAGTCGACAGAGGAGAATCTTCTTCTGCTGTGCTTGCCATCAGAGTTGCAACCGGGCTCCGTTGAAACGAATGGACCACCGAATTAGAGGATAGGAAACTTGAAGGGAACGAACTCCTTCGATTTAAGGTGAACAAACTTCTGCAAATTTAGCAGTTTTGAGTTGAAAAGCGAAAGCAAAAGCAGCACTCAAAATGGACGAGACGATGATGTTGATCTTGCTGGTGATTGTTATGTTGGTTGGGTCCTACCTTGCTGGAAACATTCCGCTGATTGTGACCATGTCCGAGGTGAGTTGTACCATAGCTGCAGGATGTTTGAGGTCACTCGAATGTTATTCATTTTTAGGAAAAACTGAAAAATGTTTCAATCTTTGGAGCCGGCTTGCTGGTAGGGACAGCCCTCACGGTAATCATTCCGGAGGGAATCCGATCTCTATACGATGAAAGCAATCTGGAAGCAAAAACCCTGGCAACCTCCGGTGCACCGGATCATAAGCACAGTGCCGATGAACATTCCTCTACGATCGGTCTGTCGCTGGTGCTGGGATTCGTTTTCATGATGTTGGTGGATCAGGTATCTTCCCGCCGTAAGGAAGGTTCGACCGAGCGTAATTTGACCGCCACGATCGGTTTGGTCGTCCATGCCGCCGCTGATGGAGTGGCATTGGGTGCAGCGGCCACCACCAGCCATTCCGATGTCGAAATTATCGTTTTCCTAGCCATCATGTTGCACAAAGCTCCGGCAGCTTTCGGACTGGTTAGCTTTCTACTGCACGAAGGTATCGAACGGCAGCGGATACGGAAACATCTGCTGATTTTCTCCCTGTCAGCACCACTTCTTACGCTTTTGACGTACTTTGGAATCGGTAGCGAACAGAAAGAAACCCTAGAATCGTTGAATGCCACCGGCATTGCTATGTTGTTCTCGGCCGGAACGTTCCTGTACGTAGCGACGGTTCACGTGCTTCCGGAATTGACTCACAACACCGGCCATGGAGGCCATCGCAGTGGTCCTCACTACGATTACAATCTACTGGAGCAGCAGTCGGTCGCCAGTGGCAAGGTCGCTGTTCACGGCGCTGGCAGTGGACTCAAGAACACCGAATTGGCTCTGCTTATTCTGGGAGCATTGATGCCGCTGTTTCTTACCGTCGGGCACCATCATTGAGTGGGATGATCCACGATGGGAGACATAAAAATCGAAAACATTGCCAAATTTGTTTTTAATTAGGTGGATGCACTAAAATAGCTGACGTATATAATGGAATTAAGGGAACGAGTACGAAGGAGGAAGAATCAGGCCGAGGTCGTATACATGTTTAAACGGGAGATATCTATTCGGTCTCCGGTGTGTGATGCAATATCTTTGCTTTTAAAACGCTCATGGTAAATTCCATTAACCATTACTCATCCTTAACGGTACCGTTAGTTTTGCTTAAACGAATTAATTTCATAAGTGCATAAAATGCAGTCGTCAACTGTAGACTTATTCTCCAATTCTAGACGTTTACAATAAACCAGATAACGGAAACATGAGACATAGTTTAGAACCACGACGATAGTGAAAGCGCGTGAAAGTAATCAACAAGGTAAATTTTTTATCAACTTATCAGATAAACTTGCAGCGCGTTTCTGGCTCTAAAATGGCTTAGGAAAGCGTCATAAACTTTCCTTTAACACTCTTTCATAATCAACTAACAACGCGCAGAGGCATACAAATTCATATTAGATAACGACAAGCCGGCGTGACGTGAGATGTAAATAGAACGAGAACGTACGTCGAAGGCTGCAAGCTAAGGCTAATTTATGGCCGATTTAGACGTAGATTGTAGGTATTGTTTAACTCTAGGATTAGGCAACTGTGCGCAATGAGAGAATAGACCTACTACACAGGTGTTGTAGAAGGATACGCCGTGGCTGTTTTCTTATTCGTGGAACAAACCATTGCTATCACTTTGTTGTAAATCGTGTATACATGTGCGTAGACTACTGAGCGAAATAGTTCGATGTAGAAAAATACAATATTGGTCGTAAGTGAGGTACGGGTTTCAATATTTCGTTGATGATGACAACAAAATGATACCCTTCAAAAAGCTTCCGTTTATTTGCGAAACTACAATCCGTCGAATCTACCCCGAACGGATTGATCGATTCTCTTCATCGACTTCCTCTCGTGTTTGTCGTATTAGAAGCTAGATGCTAGATAAAGATCGATAGGGTAGAGAACTACTTCGGCCTAATCGCCCATTTTGGGCCTATCGAGCAGAAAACTTCAAATAAATCCATGATTTCAGAGTTACCAAGTCAATTATGCGTTTGGTACGATACTTTAGTTAATAAGCTACGGAACGAAGTCAATGAGAATGCGTGATATGAAGGCTTGCACCCATTATTCCCAAAAACAAAAGAAGTGTTCCGACCGAATCAATTTTTATCTTCATCCGATAGGCCGAAGTAAATTCATTGGTGTTTCAATGTCGTTTCAATGCGTTAGGCCGAGTTTTGAATCCGTAGGCCGAGTTTGGCGTCAAGAAGCAGTGTTAGATTTTTGACAATATCTCAACGATGGGATTCTCTTTATCAAATATTCCGCTACATAGGCCGGAAATGGGGTATTTAACCCTATGTGTGCTGAAAATAGCTGGAAATGTCTTAAGATGAACGTGAGGATGGAAAGAGAAAGTTGACGAACAGAATCTGTCAATGTTACTTAGGACCTAATGCATTGTTTAGCTTGAGGAAAATCGCCAGCAAAAAGCAGAAAAACCAGTGTCAAGGTAATGAAAAAAATGTCATGCTTGAACACTTCTTATCTTTCACTGATGAAAATGACAGAGTTGTGACCAGTCCGCATCGTGCTCTCTTGGCGTGCGGATCTATTAGCTTTTTACTGAAGGAACTTACTGATACCTAAAGCACAGACAAACAGACATAGCTCCTAGAAGAAAATTTTTCAATAAAAATAGTCAAGCGTATTTTGCATGTACACTACCACCCTCTATCATGCACAATAGGCTTGTCAAGTAGTGAGCCAATTTAAAATCGTTAGTTTTCACCGGTTGGTTCTACCACTATGTTTGTTTTGATTCGCTATTAAAGTTTGACAGATAAAATGAGGGGTGAATCGATTAGCTTGGGACCGAAGAGAGTACCAGAGCTGAGCCAAAAAGTTGAGCACGTTTCTTCGGGACTTACTAATCTTAGAGTTACCTCTATGGAAGAACATTAGAAAATATATTCAAAAGGGGGCTGACAAAATCGGGTCATTACTGTATATGTCTCCAGCGGGATGCCTTGGTTCCCTTAATATTCTCAAAAGCTAACATCTACTAAGGCTCTGAATCATTTGGTGGATTTTTTTTAACTTTTGGTTAAAATTTGACAGATGGAAAGTTATCGATTAACCCTGCTATCCGAGCGTGGTTATTTCTGACAGACAAGAAGTTAAATTTTGACAATCGTGGTTGAGTTCTCCTCGAAAACCGGTCGATCGACAGCACAGGGATTTTCGAACATAGAGAATAACTTTCGAAATGTCGCTTTCAACCCCGAGTTAAATTTAACTCGGCAAATGGTTCAAAGCCTAAATTGACCTGAAAAAGAACTGGCATCACTGATAAGTTCGAAATGTAGTGGCTTACTTAACGCTTCAGTGGCGTCACCATGACAAATGCGAGCATATTCCGAACGAAAAGCTTATTTGCGAAGAATGTGATTGTGAGTGTTTATACATTTATTTAACATACATATTGTCTGTGCCTAAAGCTACAAAAAACTAAATAGCACTTCTTAGTGCCAAACATTACCTGCAAATTTTTTACCGTTATGGACTCTTATTCCTCTTCGATCCTTGTTCGGACCCTACCCGAGGTAATCCTGCTTGGACATATACTTGAAAAATGCCTCTTCGATCCTTCGGATTCTTATAGTAATGTAATATGCTTGGAAGTCGATTTGGAGAAAACGTTTTTCGGCAGCCATATCGCCTAAACGCATAAAGAAAAGGGCAATCTCTTGATTCCCATTATGATAAAATTAATTTAGGCAATCAATGTGATATGCTCACGGATGATGAGAATGATCCATCATCCAAGCAAAATTCTAATAAACTTTCCCGGCTTAATGCCAAGAAGGAAAAAGTCCCTCCTCTCGTGGAAACCACTTCCGATTTCCATGCTCTTCGCACGGAACTTTTGAACTTCGTAATATTCAAGTTTTCACTTCAAATTGACCGTTGCGATGAAAGCCGTGTAACGATCTTCCGGAAGCACTACTTTATGTCTCGATTGGTCAATGAATATATACGAGATAGCTACTTTAAAAATATCTATCAATAGCCGTTTAGTATTGATTCTGGTATATTCTGGTATTCTGAATAAAAAATATGAAAAGTTTCGACCACTTTAGCCTTTTCTATTAGTTTTAGTAGGTAGGGTAGTGACAGTAGGTGAATTCCGGACCGAAACCATTGTTCGGATATTGTGGTGGATCGTTTTTTTGAAGCATGATGACATACCCGTTGACGGAAATTAGCACCGTTGCTGTTCTTTTCACCGAATCCAGGACTTTGATGTCAATGTTCGAAATATTTGGATTGAGCAGAGAAAACTCATGTTGCAAGCAATCAGTGAAGCATCCTAGGGGGATGACTCTATCTAAGATGCAGGAAATTTATTGCTTTGCTGTAGTGAGCTGCACTCGCCCTTAATAGATAGAAACACGATTGATTGTGATTTTGAAGATTTCCTGCAAAAAGGTGGAGAGCGATGCGAGTAGATGGGTTTAGATGCGAGAGATGAAAAAAGATTTTTCGTAGATTGATTCGCTAGTGTGAGATTTTTCGACCATTTAAAATCGAGATTTAGATGTGTCGCACCCCTCGGAAGCATCGCACAACCACGTGCACCTTGACATCGTCTGCATAGAATGACCGGCAGCCAGTTGGAATTTTCAAGCCGATTTCGTTAATGCCTTGAGGAGCGCCTGGGTTGTTTGAAAAATATTCCGATTGATCAGAGCCGATTTTCACACAAAGCTCTCGATTGGTAAGATACGATTCAAACCAACGAGTGAGTCCTTGAGAGATACCGAGCTTCTCGAGTTTGGCAAGTAGAATGGCATGATCAACCCGGTCGAAAGCTGCCTTGAGATCGGTGTATACGACGTCCACCTGTTTTCCTGCCTCAATATTCCGTATAGGCATAGGAAAACGAAAGAAGCGAGGTTTGTTTCTCAACACCCGAACGTTTGGGGTGGAAACCATGTTGTTCAGGAGAAATGTAGTTTCTACAGCTAGCAAATAAAGCGTCGTTGATGATTATCTCGAATACTTTCGAGCAGACACACAGTGAAGTAATTCCTCGGTTATTCTCCACATTTCGCTTGTCTCCTTTCTTGAAAATCGGGAACATGAACAAAGATTTCCAACGAGAAGGAAATACACCTAGTTGTAATGAAATATTGAACAGCTTTGAAAGCGGAGAGGAAAGCTCTGCTGAGCATCTTTTGAGGATGGACGATGGAATGCCGTCAGGTCCAATAGCGTTCGAGAATTTCAGCTTCGAGGTCCAATGTGACCGTGAAAATATCAAAGCTGAACGCGTCACTGGAAACATCCCGAGCAAAGTCGGTTAGCAAAATGCAAGCAAAAAGTTTGCAGTTTCTCTCATAATGAAAACTAATTTTGATTTCAACTGTCACGACCAGGCATGGAAAATCATTTACATTCAGTTCATGCAATCATTTACATTCATTTGCCTCTAACTTTTTTCATCAACAGCAATCCGCAAAATGATGTATAGAGCTTTAGCAGGTTTTGTTATTAGCTACAACTTTTGCCCATAACTCAAATCTGTATCTCTTATGCATCACGGGCAGAACTTGTTACTGTTTTTCAGTGAATGTAAAACACATTCACTGAAAAACCATAGTGGCTTCTGTTCGCTCTGGTTCGTCATACATAAGAGATACGGATCTGAGTTGTTAACAAAAGTTGTAGCTTATAACAAAACCTACAAAAGTTTCATACATCATTTTGCGGAATTCTGTTGATCAAAAAAATGTAGGGGCAAATGAATGTGAATGGATGCAAATGATTTTCTATGCCTGGTCACGACAGAAGTCTGATATCATATTGTGCTTTCATTATGTAGCCAAGACTTTTTTAATGAAAGCAACTTAACTTCAAGCTCTGCTGTTAACGTCTTGTTGAAAGTTTGATATAAGTTCATCTGTCGTTGAAGTAACAATTATTGTCAATTCGTTTTGTTTAACACTTTTTAGGTCATTCGTGACTTGTCCGGGTGAGATTTGAACTCAAGTTTTTTTTAGCGTGAGAAGCCAATTTAAACCAGACCCGTATTCACTTAAATATTATGAATGCAAAATCAGTAATCTAATTGTTTTCATTTAAAGTAGGATCAGTTTTCCGTTTGATTCAGCAATGTAAAATATTGCTCTAATTTTTGCTGTGTTAACCGTTAAGTCAACCAAAATGAGATCAATTGGAGTATTTAAAATAAGTTACATCATAACAGCAAATTTTGATTCCAATTTGATCTCCAGCTTTGCTCGGGATGCTTGGCATACACAGTTTCGCTCACGAACAGCTCATTTGCTAATAACTTTGCACAGAGTTGACGAAACATAGTTCTGTTTGAAGCATCCGATAGAATAGAGTTTAACCTAACCTTGTTATAGATACGTACAAAAAATGAGACAGATACCTTTAAAATAGATTTTAATTCTAGTAATAAACTGTATTTGATTTTGCGTTACAAAAATGAAGTGATAAATGGTCGCTGCACATCTCGGATTTTAAGTGTAAAAATTCATTGGTGTTGTTCAAATGATAAGATTTACCTGCTCTTTGCATGTCTACAGTAGACTATGATCCTAATTCCTAATCTATCAATTACTTTAAAGAAAACTAAATTTCAACAACTGAGTGAAAAGTTATTAACAAATGAGCAGTTGGTGTGTACGACTGTGCATGCCAAGCATGACTGGGAGTATCTCTGATTCCTTCAGAAACTTGGCTTAACGATGCCATTTAGTCGCTTTAAATGCTCTGCCAGGATGCTACATTTTTCTAAAGAAGTGTTGGCTCTTTTATCGCTTTAATTAATCTCAACCGGTAGCCCATGCTCTTTCCTTCTTGTCTTCACAAACGTCCAGAATAGCTTAGGATTACGCCGGAGATTGGTCTGGATACGTCTTGAGTACTTCTTGTTTAGAAAACGGTTGTACATTCGATAGCGATTACCGTGAAGGCACCAAATTCGAAGCGGTTCCTAAATCGACGCACTCAATAATGTTCGACTATTTTCAATCATTATGTTTGAAATGTTACTTCTGCAAATATTAGTTCCTGTGCTCTAGGGATGATGGTGTAACAAAGTTTTAAAAAATATCGAGATGCGATAAAAATAAGACGAGTGCGTCATCATTAGGGACGCGTCAAATATGGTGCTGGCACGGTACTTGCTAACGAAAATAATCGCTTAGTGAATTGATTACGGGGCTGTATTTGCGAAGAGCCTCCGCTCTCACACGCTTCAAGTGTTGGAATCGAGCATTAGTCCATGCAGGGTTTGGAAGAAATCGCATCAAAGGCGCAATATCCATTATTATTCGGCTCACAACTTCGTCGAAGTAGTTAACGGCTTCATCAATGGACGAACACAAGTCAAGCGGCTGCTAATCTACCTGGGACAGTGTCAGTGCAATGTCAGTTCTACGAAAGTCCAGGCTTTGTACATCAACGATGTCTTCATAGAGAACAGGAGCTGCTCGATTGATGAGAGCATCCAACGCTGGATGATTGGCGCTGTTGGCGCTGTGATCAGCGTTGCCACAATGTTTTAAAGCTTATCGGTATCAAAGATTTTAAAAAATCGGTTTTTATCGGTATTTTCTATTTTATTTTATTTTAAATTTTTGTCCTTTTTGAAAGAGAATTTTTTTTATCATTTGGACTATGATCGGAAAACTCCGGGGAATGTTTGAATTAGCTTCTGGAGGAAGCTAAAAACAACACCCACAGAAAGAAGAAAGAAGCTTTCCTGGAGGAAATTTGAGGAAAGATCTGAGAGAAGTCGGAAAATCATCCGCGAAACTTCCAAAACATAAATTGAGAAACTTCTGGCGAAAATTTAAAGAAATATTCAGAAAAAAAATAAGATTTCACATTCAAAGGAAGGCAGAAAAGTTTCGGAAATCGGAAATAAATTCCAAAAGTAGCCATTTACATGCGAAGCCAGAAGGAGCTCCGAAAACCTTCCAATAGAAGTCAAAAAACCAACTGGAAACAAATTCCAGAACTATACGAAAGAAATTTCTGGGAAAAGTTTAATTTAAATTCCTGGAGAAGACAGAAGAAACTTCCTAAGGTAGATTGGGGAAAAAAATTCTGGAAGAAGACGGAAGCCACAGCGCTAACGAAACAGTCGATAGAAACAAGGACATAATTCCGGAAGAAAGAGCTCTTCGGAGATGTTCTAATGATCCAGAAAATTTTACAAATTGTCATAAAACATCCCTGAAGACCCAGCAATAAAACTTTCCTGAAATGTACTTAGGAATATTCCATATTTCCTTGGGCTGTTTTGGAGTACTCCGATCATCTTTGAAATACTTGGAACTTCCCTGATTATATCTCTAATCAATTTTGAAGGTCTCTATACTTTTTTTGAAGATGACGAAATTTCTTAAGCGCTCTCACAATTTTCTTGAATTTATTGTAACATCAGCATTGAAGTTCTCTGATCTTCCCGATTTTTATAATTTTTAAAAGTTATCAACACTGCCATCAATAAGCACGGAACTTCCCATAAAATATTCTCTCAATGTGCTAATGTTCATGTAACCTCCCTTACGTTTCTTAAATTTGCATGAGCCCCTTCGGAACATTGCTGAAGTTTTCGGAAATTGTCTGAGTTTCTCGGAACTCCTTTTAAAATTACAGCGATTACGTTGAAATTTATTCATCTGTCCTGATGTTCTCGGAGCTTCCTAAGGTTCTCTCAATTCTCCTGAAACTAATGGAACTGTCCTGAAAACCAATAAATTTTCCAGAAGTTCATGTCAATCGATACTTGTGAAGTATCCAAAATGTTCATGATATTTCCTTAAGTTCACTGGAGTTCGCTGGATCGGGTTTCAGAATTTTAACAGAAGTTGTTGAAACATTCTTTTATTTATCGAAACACACTCAAAAGTCTGGACTTTTCTGAAGTTTCAGAACTTCTTAAAAGTTCCTGTAGCTAGTGTGGATCCACAATCAAAATCTGGAAGCATCCTTGAAGTTCCGGGAAAGTTGAAAAAACTGGCGGAATAAGATGGAAGAATCATTTGAGCGAAGGTTGAAGAAACTTCCTAGGGAAGTCGAAATAAGTCTCCGAGAGGAATCGTTAAATAATTTACGATGTAAGGTGGAAGAAAATTCAGGAAGTTAAATAATTTTTAAAAAGTATTTCCCAATTACCCCGGAATAACCAGAAAGAGCCATCGACTGTTTATCGATTCATGGGTAGCCAAAAACGGTGAGGAAATTGAAACATTATTCGAATGAATATCCGTAAGACATTTTTAAAAATGGTTTTAATTTGAATTTTAAAGGTTCAAAAAATTTTAGATATTCAAAAAGATACAAATCTCTCACAATAATTTTCTTCGAAATTCAAGCACGGGCAGGCAATAATCATTTTGATTATTTAATAAAATCGGTATAAATCGGTATAAAACCTCAAAAATCGGTATTCTGAGGAACCTTATCTGTATATCGGTATCTAGTTCGGAAATCGGTATAAATACCGATAAATCGGTATATCTGGCAACGCTGGCTGTGATGTCTTCAGCAATATTGTGCATAATTATGCTGCATTCTAAAAAATCTTCACGTCCGATTTACGTGAAATATCACGTAGCTGATTTGTATTTAGAAAATCTCAAATGTTACGTGAAGTTTGTAATTTTTACCTGCACTACACGTCATGTCCACTAAAAATGTTGGTGAAATTTACCGTATATTCACGTAAACAGATTTAGTGTATTTGTGTTTGTGTGTTTGGAAATTCGATATTTCCGTGAAACGATATTTCCGTGAAACGAGATTCACGTGATTTTCAGGAACGCAAAAAAAAAATCAATATGGTGTGTAGCGTGGTGGAAGACCCAAACGTTTATGGTGGGAGAACTCCTCAAAGATTCAAAATTCTTCAGCGCTTGCTGCAAATGTTGGACGGTAATTAGATTCTTTTACATTAATTTATTTATTATTATATGTAGCCTTTTCATGTTTTATAATTTTAGACGGTGACATCAGCATTTTGAGTCTGCAAACAGGTGTTGCATAAAATTGACTGCTTCTATATATACTTTCCATAATTACGTAAAAGTTACCAGATGTCCGGTAGTTTTCACCCCGATTTCACGTAAGCAGTACGTGGAAATCAGGTATTATTTACCTGACTAATCACGTAGATAATTGAAGCTGAATTTTGATCGGCTACGTGCAATTCCGGTAAAAGTTACGTGAAAAATAGGGTGGACGAAAACCACCTATGTTTTCACGTCAATCGGACGTGAAGATTTTTGCGATTCTTGACAAAAATGTACTGTTAAAAAAAAAGTGTCTTAAATGACACTCTATGTTTATGATTTTAGCAGCATTACCAAATATTGCCAGTTAGAAGCAACCATTATGAACTTCACTGCTACACAAAATGAAATTTTTCAAAAATGACGTTTTTGAGAAGTTACACTTTTTTATAACTAATCTATTTTTTTTTCATCGAAATATACAAAAATTATCACAGTGTACAATTCTTTACAGAATTTAGAAAATTAATACCTACACTTTGCTGAAGACACCATATCAATCGAACAAAACGTTTCGACAATATTTATAATTTAACACATTAGTACTGTTTTTACACAGGCCCTGTTGGAAAAGTAGTCGTGACCCAATATGAAGAAATGATAACCTAAAATGACATTAAATGTCATGAAAAATGAAACAAATTTTGTTTCTAAAAAGAAACAACTGTGCAAAATTTCAGCTAAATTGGATAAGATCGTTCAGGATCGATTCGCGCCTCCCTTCTTCTGCTCTTTTTTGTGATAAAACCGGAAAATTTTGTTTTTCGACTTGTCATCTGCTAGAAAGAATTGATAATTTCCATTAAAAGAATTGGATGTCAAAAAGCACCAACTAATGACACAATGAAACTAATAAACAAACACAATTGATCATTGAATTTTAATTCTGTTTATTGACCTTTAAATATTCTCTGGGTTGCTGTTTCGATTTATCTCTGTTTCATATAATATGCGATAACATCGTAACTTTCTGCGCTGATGATTCAATACAATATCTTTTTTTCATTTTAGTGTTGTAGCATTGCGTAGTATATATTTTTTTGCTTCATCTTTCAATTTAATTTCAACAATCAGAGTTTATTTTTTAAGGATTAACGAACATATACATCTTTCGCTCTTCCTTGTTTGATACTTTTTTTTTCTCTCTCACTGAATAATTTAGTTATTGTAATAATTTTCTAAGCGTACTCCAATGGTAAGTTTCTTTCAGCAGTTATGTATATAGTTTCATTTAAGAATACTTTTATGGTATATAAGCCTTCTACTTGCAGTTCTTTCGCTACTACGTACGGCAACATACACTGCGTGATTGATGCTAACAATAACGATATGTAGGTGAAATTTGTGTTCTAAATTTAATTTATTTGTTGAAGTGCAAATTTTGGAATCAAGTTGAGCTAGTTTTAAAAATAAACAGTTTAGGGGAAGGAAGTAAATCTCTCACTAAAACAGTACTACCAGTAGACATCAGCGCAAAGCACCAACCGGATGATGAAGGCGGGGGTGGGGCAATAATTTCTTCTATTCCACTCTGCTCTGAAATCTCTCGCAAATGAAAACTGTACACAAACTTAAAAGAAAATATTTACACTAATCCCTTGAACGGTCCCTGCGTTCAGGCGAAATGCCTACTTAAATTCCCTTTGTGTTGATATGTAAATAATGCATATTTTAAAGCTTTTATGGTGATGGAATAAGTCAAACGTAGAATGTTCTTCTTCGAGCAAACAGGAGGCGATTTATTCAGTGAAACAAAATCGAATATTTATTCATAAAGCGAAATCTCGTTAGGGATTTAGAGATTAACCAATATACGAAAACATGGTGACGAACTTGAACTGTCTATACCAGAAAAAAAGGAATGACACTTGTTTCCATCAAAAGTCAAATTTTAAAATTATGAAACACCGAACTTTTTCTATCTCTCTCGCTTTTCTGCATAGGCGATATTCGATTGTATGCAGCATTAGAACAATGTTAAACAAAAAAAAAGCATAAATCAACAAAAACAAAACTTCCCTTCACTTCTCAAGCTTCGATCTCTCCAAAACGGCTTCCAAATCGGCACCGAAGTCATCGTCTCGCGAGTAGTCCTCGCCGAACTTGGAAAGCGTGTTGCCCTTCGACGGGAAGTCATCTTCGAACCCCCCCTTCGTACCTCGCTTCAAACTTTCCGCACTGCTCTTGAAATTATTGCTAATATTGCTAAACACGTCGAAATTAGCAAAATCATTGGATGCTGGTGCAGCACCGGGCTTGATGTTGTTGTTCGAAATGTCCAGCTTCGCAAATCCTTCGTCCATACGGGAGAACTCATCTTCAAACGGGCTACCCTTCGCCGTTGCTCCGAAAATCGCATCATCCGCGGCACTGCTGTCTTCGGTGGTAGCGCCGAACGCCCGGAACAAAAGTTCCTGCTGATTGGTACTGGCAAATTTGTCCGCGTTGGTATTTTTGCTAAAATTATCGTTGAAAGCATCAAACGGATCGGCGGTCGATGGTTTCTTGGTGGTGTTGCCGCTTCCAAAACTACTGCCGGTGGTGCTGGTGAGTGTGCCAAAAGCAAAGTTGTTATTCTGTGCGTCCCCAAAGAGATCGTCCAGCTGGTCAGTGCTGGACTTCTTGGGACTAGTCGGGGCTTGTTTCCCGCCGCCGCCGCTGCTGTTGTTGTTCAGTGTATTTGAATCAGAGGAGAATGGGTCTGCAAGAAATAGGATTCATTATTTGGCTTGAAAGCAATTTGAATACTACTAATAAGCTACCACTACCAGAACAATCCGTGCTAGAAAGCCATACCCAGCATCAGTTCCTAAACTCATTCGAAAAAAAAGACTAGTCTGATCTGACCTACCTTCGGAACTGGCACCGTCATCGTCGCCAAACGGATCGACGATGTTGAAGGGATCCTCGTAGCGGTAGTCTTTGAAAGGATCATCGGTAAAATCGACCGCCGTTGGAACGGGAGTCTTCGACGAAGGGGCGTTTATCGGGCTAGGCGCTACTACTGATGAGGTTGGTATTGGCGGTGCTGGCGAGGACGGCAATACTCTGGTACTGGGAGGAGCACCCAGCAGTACCGGTAGAGGTGAAGCTGTAGTTCCATGGCCACCAACCGGCGATGGCGAAGGGACTGACGATGACCCGAACACGGAAGTGGAGGAGGAAAAGGATTGCAGTACCGAAGGTGACGGAGCGGCAGGTTTTAGGTTCTGTGTGTTTGTGAGTTTTGAGTGAGTGTTGTTTGTATATGTTGGGGGATGGAAGTAGAATAAAAATTTCAATTAAAATAAAACATAAGAGGTAAATTAAACGTACAATGGAATGTAAGTGTTGGCACAAAACGGTGTGGAAGGTATTAGAAACATTTAAAACGAAATAAAACCGAATATTTTCCAATTCAAATAAGAATAAAACAAAAGCGTGTGTCAGGAATGTGAATTGTGTGACTTACTCTTGTTGATTCATATAACATTAGGTTTCCTTAGTTCTTCTTCTTCTTCTCAATTCATTTATTTAAGGTTGGTTTCTGTTCCGCAATCTAGTGCCAATCACTAAAGGACATCGATTGTCATCCATTGACGACAATCGAATGTGCAGGAAGGCAGCTTCCACACCTGCGTAGGATATCGTACCCATCAACATCCATGGCCAGGGACGAACTGCTTTACTTCCCTCCAGAAAGCAGATTGTTATCAGGGTGTCGACTCAGGAAAGAAAAATAAATTCGCTAATATTCCCTGATTTCCCAGACATTTTCAGAAAAAAACAAATCCAATTTAAAAAACCGTCCAACTTTTCAAAATCTCCCATTTCAAACATGGCAAGGGTCAGGTATTCGGTTTAAGCTGTAAACATCTACAAGCATTACGATATCAATCAGTTTGTTATCTTTTAATCTAGAAGAACTTATTTTCATAATATGAAATGATCTTTGTAGACTTGACACGAACAAAGATGAATCCCCTAAATATAAATTTTCATTACTGGGATACTTGTTTAACCACTGCAAAGTTTTTAATAAGTTTATCATTTTCTCCATGTCCTTCATAACATTTTAGACCGCTGAACAATACTCAAGCGTCGATCGAACAAGCGTACAATAGAGAGATTTTAGACAGTAGGTGTCAATGAAGTTTTTAGCCATCCTAAAAATTTGAAATACTCATAAGGAGAGATAGACGGAGAAAACGAAATACAATTCGGCAGCAGGGATTTGTACCTAAATTATCTTGCAACCCTTCCTAGAAGCTAGCATTTCACATGAGTTTTACTTTTGATTAGATTTAGGTAGGGTTAACTACCCCATTTTCGGCCTATTAAGCACAACCCGCACTTAGTCCTTCTTTATCTAGCGCAGTTTGGCACCAAACGGAAAGTTATTATTACTGATGGCTTCCAAATTTATTTACCTTTCCGTATGTACCGTAAGATTTGATAAAGAGAAACCAATCGTTGAGATATTGTCAAAAGTCTAACACTGCTTCTTAACGCCAAACTTGGCCTACGGATTCTAAACTCGGCCTAGCGCATTGAAACGCCAATGAATTCACTTCGGCCTATCGGATGAAGATAAAAATTGATTCGGTTGGAGCCAGAGCTGGTAAATATCACAGCCGTCATGTGACAATGAGAAAACAGGCCCTTTCACTATCACGAGACGAGACTACCTATCATTGGCTTTCTTGTCATTTTCCAATGATCAAGCACTCATGAGAATAATTCTTAAACGGTTGTGACATCAACATTTCTAACTGATTTAGATTAATTAAAGCAAGCAACCGTATGTAATCGATTGAGTGAATATTTTATTAAGATTTCCTCGGAACTAGCAACATTAATAGCAATAAATGAGCTAGTAATTACGATGAACACAACACTGTCACGTTCTGTCATGACAAAAAAATCGATGAGATTTTGAAGAAAATCTCCATCATCATTTTCTCATCCGATGATAGTGACAGAAGTATCTCTGTAAATATCGCGTGAGATCTTTGATTGAAAATGACATTTGCCAGCCCTGGTCGGAGCGCTTCTTTTGTTTTTTTTTAAATAATGGGTGCAAACCTTCATATCACGCGTTCTCATTGACTTCGTTCGGTAGCTTATTAACTTAAGTATCGTACCAAACGTATAATTGACTTGTTAACTCTGAAATCATGGATTTATTTGAAGTTTTCTGCTCGATAGGCCCAAAATGGGCGATTAGGCCGAAGTAGTTCTCTACCCTACGTGCAAAATAATAATTGAGTTCATCACAATATTTTGCACATTTCTTGGTGCCATTAATTAACCAACTATGATCAATTAATCAATAGATTTCGAATATTGTTTTATATTCCAAAAACTAGATGAATTTGAGAAGCACACGAAACAACACTAAGCAGAACGAAACATCCCTCTGAGTATTTCTACTAAAAATGAACCCTAAAATTCTTGACGCCTTATCGACCACATATGAAATGTGTTGCTTGAATGATAGCTACGAGTCGAAGATCACACCCAAGTCTTTCACCTGATTCACGCGTTCGATTGTCGAGCCAAGCTAAATATTATCGGTTGTTGTTTTCGTGAGAACATAATAGCGGAGCATTTGGCTGGGTTCACTACCATTCTGTTTAAACTGCACCAACTAGCGAATACATTCAGCTGACGTTGAAGAAAGTGACAGTCAGCAACGGAGCAGATTCGTAGGAAGATTTTGAGGTCATCTGCAGATGATAACCGAGGAGCTTCGATGACCAGATGCACGTCGTTGAAGTACAATACAAAAATCAACGGTCCCAGGTGACCCAGGTATTCCTGATGTGGCGAAGAAGCTAGCTGATCTGCAATCTCCTATGGCAACCTTTAGTTGGCGACCGGTAAGATGCGATCGAAATCAACTCAGAAGATTACCGCATACACCGAGCCTGCCGAATTTAGCAATCGCTATTGCATGGTTCAACTTGTCGAATGCTGCGGATAGATCTGAATATATAACATACTTTTGAACCCGATCTGACATGCTTTCGGTAATATACGATTTGAGACACACCAGATTAGCATAGAGGTAACTCTAAGTTTCTAGTACTACACTATGGTTGTTTAGATTCGCTATGAAAGTTTGACAGATAAAATGAGGGATTCGTGTTCCTATGTTTCGAGGGGTACACATCGATTAGCTTAAGAACGAAGAAAGTACCAGAGCTGAGCCAAAAATTTGAGCACGTTTCTTCGGTACCTTCTGATCTTAGAGTTACCTCTGATATTACCCTGGCTGCCAGGAACGTTCCAGTAAATCATCAAACGCTAGGTGCAATTAATGTTAATGCTGAGATGATTTCCAAGGTCGCGACTCTGCTCAAGTCATCCTTCAATCCTGGACCGTATGGAGTTCCATCTGTATTTTTGAAGAGACATAATGGTAGCTTGTTAATTCCGCCTCATCGTCTGTTCCGCATGTCTCTCTCAAGTGACATATTTCCATCCAGATGAAAATTTCTTTTCGGGACGTGTCTGTCAATGATATATGCCAAGACATGTGAAAAAGTTTGCGCTGCAGCCTCAACGTCATCTGGATCAAGGATGTTCTCCCATACCATGCTAGACAATATATCCAACCGGTGGCAACTAACGATTTTAAATTGGCTCACAGCTTGACTAGCCTATTGGTCCCAAGTACATCTATAAGCGTACCCCATTCTTGTCGAAATTCTAGTACTACACTATGTTTGTTTTGATTCGCTATGAAAGTTTGACAGATTAAATTAGGGGTTTGTGGATTTTCCTATGTTTCGAGGGGTGAATCGATTAGCTTGGGACCGAAGAGAGTACCAGAGCTGAGCCAAAAAGTTGAGCACGTTTCTTCGGGACCTTCTAGCAGAGCTTGAAATTATTGACTGCCTAGGCTGAGTGTGAAAGCACTGCACTATTCAATCCATTGCTCTGTGCAGACCGTTTGTACCAAACGGTAAAGGACGAGGCAATGAAATAGCCAACAAAAACAATCAGTCACTCACGAGCAGGCGACGCACACCGCATGTCTTCGCTCACACAGCATGTAAAGGACGAACACGAAATTATTGCGACACATTCAACAGGGCATAACTTTTTTACCATTGGGTAAAAATCAACCAAATTTTGCACACTTTCTCATTGATGTGTATTGTGTACATGCTGTCAAACTCGAAGTCGTGTTTTTCGATTCAACGAAAATGGAGGTGAACCAACACGAGTTGAGAGAACAAATTCTTTCCAAACACCTGGAATTTCCTGACCTGTCGCACCGGCAGTTGGGAAAAATGTTGAACATTCACCATTCAACCGTCTCCAGAGTGTTGAAGCGGTTCCAGGAGCGGTTGACGTTGGACCACGGCAAAGGAGCTGGAAGAAAACCGGGACCGGAGAACAAAAAGACGGAGGGAAAGGTGAAGCGGATGATTAAAGCAAATCCCAACGTCTCAACAAGCCGTGATTTGGCTAAAAAGATCGGCATGTCGCAGAGCTACGTCCAGAATGCAAAGAAGAAAGCTGGACTACATACATACAAGGTACAGAACTTCCCAAACCGCGATGAACGGCAACAATCGACGGCTAAAACTCGGGCACGGAAGCTCTACGAGAATATGGCTGCTGTGTGATGGACGACGAAACGTATATAAAAGCCGATTTTAAGCAAATTCCGGGGTTGGAGTTTTTCACCGGCAAGAGCAAGTTCGATGTGGACGACAAATTTAAGAAGAAGAAAATGTCGAAGTTCGCCTCCAAATATCTCATTTGGCAGGCCATCTGCTCTTGCGGACTGAGGAGTGAGCCTTTCGTGACAAAGGGCACAGTAAATGGCGAGATCTACAAATCTGAGTGCCTCGAGAAGCGCCTTTTGCCGTTCTTGCAGCAGCACGACGAAGCTCCGCTATTTTGGCCAGATTTGGCATCATGCCACTATTCTAAAAGTGTCCTGGAGTGGTATGAGGCCAATTCTGTCCATTTTGTTCCAAAGGACATGAATCCGCCAAACTGTCCGGAGCTGCGCCCGGTGGAGCAGTACTGGGCAATAATGAAGCGGGAACTTCGGAAGAGCAAGAAGACAGTCAAAGACGAGAAGGACATGTTAAAAAAATGAATGGAAAAAAACTGAGAAACTGGTACCGGATGACACTGTAAAGACTTTGATGGAGGGCATCAAGCGAAAATGCGTTCAATTTTACACTCAAGGCTCCATCGATTAACT